CCTTGATCCCTTGAGATCCGACGCTTCGGACAAATACTGCAACAGGGAAAATGGCAGAAATCACGGCCAGAACCCCGGACCCACCTCTCCGCCATGTTTTGAGCCCGATCGACCCGTGAGGGCCCCAGGGCCCGAATCTGGGCACTAACGCCCGGCTCGACGCATGGAGACGCCAGGAGCTTGCGCTGCTCCCAACCGTCCTGTGGTGCTGGGTCCTCGTTTGGGAGAGGCAGTGCCCTGCGTCCACTCCCTCCTTCCTCCTCCCCCCCCTGCTGCTCCTCCTCCCTTCTCCCATCCGTGCCTCTGCCTTACGCGTCTTCTTCTTTTTTGGCACACCACTCGCACGCTTCCTGCTCTGAAGGGGGGCTCGATCGAAGGCTCCAATAGCAGCGCTCGCATGGCACTACCGCACCCGTTTCGGCACCCCCTTCACACGTTTCACACGTTTCGTTGCCCCATTGGGAGCTCCACCCAAAGCCCTAGTGGCAGCGCCCGCATGGCACCACCGCGCCCGCTTCGGCACCCCCCATCGCACGTTTCTTGGCCCCATAGCAGGCTCTACCGAAGGCCCCAACGGCAGCGCCCGCATGGCACCACTACACCCGCTTCGGCACACCCCTTATTCGTCTCGTGGCCCCAAAAGGAGCTCCATCGAAAGCGGTCGGCACCCAGAGCGCGGCATTTACAATTGCCTAGGGTTGGGCTTTTCGCCAGGAGACGTTTCTTGCCCGACACGAGCATGCCTGGGCACCGCCGATGTTCAGCGTGCCCTTCGCTCTTCTGCTACAGTGGAAGCCCATGCCAAGAAACACCCTGCTTGCCTCCAGGGTGCCCTGGGTTTCTTGGGTTTCGATGGTTTTGCTATGGGAAGCGTGACGTTCCCACACCAAGAATCAATGGACTTCCTGGGGTCTCCTGGTTGGGTTTCTTGTGGAACGTTTCTTGTGGTCGAGCTACTGTACACCGTCGTCGAGCGCATGAGCCTGGCCTCCAGCGCCACTTGACGATTAACGTGCTTCGAGAACTCTGGCCGTGCCGCGGCTGTTTCCTCCTCACGTCTTGCGCCTCCTCTGTTCCCGCCACTCTTCGTCAGCTGCAGGCGCGCCCCGCCGCTGGCCCAACTGCTCGTTGGACCCCACCCGCCGCAGACCAGAAATGTGTGGGCGCATCCCCCCTGAGAGGGCTTCGTGTTTTCGGAAACCGAATTCGACCTCAAAAGACGTCGTGCCCTTGGACGTCGAACTCGACTTCAAGGGTCGTATGAAAACTGAGTGTTCATGTTCGATACAATTCGCATACGACGCCGAAAACGCAGACAGCTGTATCGATTGTTTGATATTGAACTCGACTTCCAAAGCCACGCGGGTCTCTCAGGCCCCCCTCCCAGGTATGCGACGTCCTGATTTTTCATCACGCGGTCCCAGGAAGTCCCGACCCTTTCCCCGGGATTGGTTTTTCATCCCGAGTTGTGTTTTGAGCGTCCTGGGGCTTGGCGGGGGCTCTCAGAGGCCAAAAGTTGCCAAAAAACTCCCGTCGTGGTTGTTTGAGATCCGCCGTAAGGACAAAAATGCGACATAGCAAAACATATCGGCCAGAGCCCCTGCCCGCATCTTTATGCTCCATTTTCCGGGGCCCGGAATGGGGCCCAAACGCTTGGCTCGAAATAGTTGAGACGCCGAGAAATCTGTCAAGAACAGAGGAGGAGGCGGGATCTTCTCAAAACCTGTCCCGAGACCCCTCCCAGGGTCCAAATCTGGTGCAGGTCCTCGCCCCAGAGCCGTGTTCGGCGGCCCCGGGCCCCGGAGACGAACCCCGCAGGCCGAGAAAGGCAGACAAATGTTTCGAACCCAAAATACCTCGAGCCTCCAACTTGCTCAGCAGAGGAAAAGCACACAGACACAATTATTAATCCTCGATTCCAAAGGAAATATTGGAAAATATGGGGAGTGGGGAGGGAAGACAGAAACCCAGAAAATATGTGAAAATATGAAGAATCTTTTTACTTGCGTGTGTTCATTTGTGTGTCCTGGGGCCCCCCACCTTGCCCTCGTGCGCGCCGCCGCGTCCGGGCCGCCGGATCCCCCCGCGCCCCCGCGCTGGGGCGCCCTGGCGCCCTGGGCGCGGCCGCCGCCCAGCACTCCGCGGGCCGACCCGGGCCCGGCGGCGCCGCTGCTGGCGCCGGCGGCGGGGGGCCTCGGGCACGGGGGCGCGCCGGCGCCAGGAGCGTGCAGCCCCCCGCAGTGCTCCGTGCTCGGGCCCTGAGCCCTCCATCCTCCGTCCTCCGGCCTCCTGCTCCTCCTGCTCCTGCTCCTGCTCCTCCTCCTCCTGCTCCTCCTACTCCTCCTCCTCCTCCTCATTCTCCTCCTCCTCCTGCTCCTCCTCCTCCTCCTCCTCCTCCTCCTCCTCCTCCTCCTCCTCCTCCTCCTCCTCCAGGCTGCAGGTCCGTGTTCCCCCCCGCCCCTCCCGATCCCCGCCGGAGCAGAGGGGGCGCCCTGAACGGCAGCCGCCTGGGCTCGACCGCTCGGCTACACCATTGATTTCTCCCGGAGTTGATTTCCCCGCCGAATTTACGAACAGATGCGTACAATGCCCCGTAGATCTGCGAACATTTTACGTCTTGTCTACTCGGCGGGAAAATATCCATTCTGAAGTAAGGCAATTATGTAGTTGATCCCCTATTCGAAGTCTCCTGCGCTCTCTCCCCCCCCCAGTGAGCGGCAGGCTGGCCTGCTACGCATCATCTTCTCGGTAATGACTATCTTCCCTTGTTGTTTCACACTGTCTGCAGGGATCTGGTCTCTACGGGCGCTTCGGCCCAGCCCTGCAGCACCCGCGCGGTGCATGACGCACACCGTGTCCGTGTCCGTGTCCCCCCCCAAGGGATCGGCACGACCCACACGCAGGCCCAACAGTCAGGAGGGGGAACACACACAGACGCAATGAATCGTCGACCACCAAGAGAAAGTCTTGGAAACTATTGGGACCTGGGCGGGGAAAAAACACCCAGAAAGTAGGGGAAGATATGGGGCATCCTTGGATTTGCGTGTCTTTCTGTGTGTGTCCTTGGGCCCCTTGAGACAGGGAAGCCAGCCCAGCTGCCAGCAGGTGCCCCCCCCCCCCCGCCCCCGGCAGGGAGCACAGCTGAGGCGCGCCGGCGCTCCGGGAGCACGGCCGCGGCCCGGGCCTCCGACGGCACGGGCGCTGAAGTCTCCGAGGTTCGAATGCGTTGGGGTGTCCTTCTGGTCTTCTCCTCCTCATCCCTCCCTCCCTTCCTCCTTCTCCTCCCTTCCTTCCTTCTCCTCCTCCTCCTCCTCCTCCTCCTCCCGTTCTCCTCCTCCTCCTCCTTCTCCTCCTCCTCCTCCTACCTTTTTTCTCCTCCTCCTTCCCCTCCTCCTGGCCTGCGAGAAGATGAGAATCCCTGTCCCTAATAGCACAATGAAGGCGTGGCCGAACTTTGGTCCCCGTCCTTGCATAGGTGTCGCAAATCTGAACGGCTTGGTCCATACATCTGCTGAAGAGACTCCTCTCCCTGATGTGTTTGGCCCTCCTGACTTCGGTCCTCTCCCAAGGGTTCAGGGTACACTGGTTGCTCAGCATTGCGGGGTGTTCTGGTCGCCGCGGCTGGATCCGCTCCGAGATTCTGGCGGGAGCGTTCCCCAGAGCATGTCCAGAGGCCGCCGTGTGACCCCCAGACCATGACACCCTCGCGCCGTGACTGAGATCAAGACGGATGTGTGCCGTATTTTTCCGCTTGGGGGGTCCTCGTTGAGCCCAGGGTCGTCAAAAAGCAGCTCGGGATGACAATGAGAAGCCGGCCACTGGGGAAGAGGTCAGGACTTCCAGGGCCCATGACCAAGTAATGACCAAGACAGATTTCGGGCAGAGCTTTCGCTGTTTGATAACCCTGGCGTGCCAGTTTCGGCACCCGGGGGCTCTGATTCTGGCAGCGGGACCCGCAGAAGCGGACCCACGGCGAAAACCTGCCCCAGGGGCAAGGGGTAAAAGACCTGGGCCCCACGGATTGGTGCGGCCGACCCTCCGCCTAATTCAAGCTTCGCGCGGCCCGCTTAGCTTCGACCGGAAGAGGTGCGCTCTCGACCCGCGGATCAAAACAAAATTGGTACGGCCGAAGTCGAAGAAGACAAGCATGCAACAGCACATCAAGCCTTGGAGGTCCGCGCGGATCTCTGCGATCTGCGCGGAGCCCCTTTGCGGCTCCTCCGGCGCCAATCCCTGGTGCTCCCCGCGTGCCAGGGAGGCCTAGCGCCGAGCCAAGAAAAGTCCGCGCGGGCCTTCGGAAGTAGATGCTTCTGTTGTGGACGCCACGACAATGGATCGGGCCGGGCGAACGGGGGGGGGATTGGGAAAGGGGGGGTACGAAATTTGCTGCATGCAGCTGATTTCGGCTTCACCGAGGGGCCCATTCCTCGATACATAGCCGCCTCCGGCGCCGGGAGGCGCCGGGAAAATCAGCTACGTGAGCTGATTCTCAACCCCCCCCTTTGCTATCCCCCCCTTTTCGCCTGACCCGAATGGACACCCTAACAGTCCTATCATTGAATTTAGACTGTGCTTAAGATGTAGGAGACATGTTCTAAATACGCTTTAAGCATGTTTAAACCATGTTTAAGACATGTTTCAGACATCTGGAAATGATTTGGCAACATGCTTCCTCTCCATTGGTCGTCCTACACAATGTTTACGCAGTTTTCTCAAGTCTACGACATGGGCACGGAAAGAGTGGCGAAGATAGACAGCAGTTCCTGCCCACTTTGAGCAGGGATCGCTGACGGCCTTGCCGCGGACGTTGCCCATTAGAGGCAAGTAGTTGCCTGCCCAACAGGGACTGCTGTCGGCTCTGGATGCATGTTTTCAGTACTGGGTCCCCGGAAGTCCCGACTCTTTCACCGAGACCGGCTTTGCCCTTTGCCGTTTTTGAGGGTCCCGGGGCCCCACGGGGGCACCTTAAAGGCCCAAAGCGAGGAGAAACCTCCGTCCTGATTTTGCTCACGACGCCAGCATGTCTAAAAACATGTGTACTACTCTTCCGCGTCGGGCCCTGTTCTTTTTCTCCGTACCCGGCTCGCACGTGCCACTAGGAGCTCTCGGCGCGCGGGGACCCTGGCCGAGTGGCGCGGCGGCCCCCGACTGGGCAGCGGAGGCGCGCTGCGGAGGAAAGAGCCCCGGCATCTTCGCGCCCCGGGGGGGAACACAGCAGGGCGTGGAAGGTTTTTGCCGTCCCGTTCCCGGCGGGGGAAGGAGCCCCAGCATCTTCGCGCCCCGGGGGGAACAAGTCACGGCGTGGAAGGTGTTTGCCGTCCCGTTCCTGGCCCGTTCCTGGTCACGATCGCTGCTTTTAGCATGCAGGAAGCGTGTCCCGAGGCCGCAAGGCAGCTCCTCAAGGGGCCAAAGGGTCTCGTATGGGTCTGCTTGTCCCCTCAGCTCCGCTGGATCGGGACCTCTGGGGCCGCGGGCTGAAAGAAGTATCGCGTCAGATGTTTGGGGGGCAGGGTCGCGTTGTGACGATTTGGGCCTTGGTTTCTGACACCGCGAGGCTCGTTCAACCTTGAACGATCGTTGCTTTTCGTATGAAAGAAGCGTGTCCCAAGGGAAACGGGTCCTGGATCCCGGGGCTGGTGACCAATACGCTTTCCGTCCTGACTCGCTTGCAGACGAGCCGGGAGCCCAGGGAGGGCCCCGAGAGCCCGGGCCCCTCAGGACCCGTTTCCCTCAGGACTCGCAGGAGGGGGTCTGGGCCTCTGTGGTGAGTCCCTCTGCGGAGGGATCACGACGTCGGGCGTCCCGGAAGGGTGTCCCGAGGGAAGCGGGTCTTTTCGGGCTCCTGGGGGCCTTCCACGGGCCTTGACACTGGTAGAAGCTTTGATTCGGGCTGGTCTGCGGGAGAAGCCCCAGAGGTCCAGGACCCGTTTCCCTCCAGACCTGCTTCTCCCTCGCCTTGGCCTTGACGTGAGGCCTCTCCTTCTGCCTTCCCCCCTCTGTTAATTAGAGCTGTGCGCGGCCCGCTTATCTTCGACCGGAAGAGGTGCGCTCTCGACCCGCGGATCAAAGAAGTTTCTCCCTTGCCAGAGAGGTGGAGCGCGACCGGGGCCAGCGGGCCTTCGAGGCGAGGCTCTACTCGGCGCTCCTGTTCTTCATCTCGGGGGACGTCAACTGACCGCCTCACCGATCTTGCCCGCGCCAATCCTGGGCCCAGCACCTTTGACCACGCACACCCGGTCTCGCCAGGACGGCAGGTACCCCGATCCTGGGCCCAGGATCGGCTAGGTCAGGATCGGTGAGGTGGTCAGTGAATGCCCCCCGATCGTCTGCTCCCTGGCCGGCGCCTCGATAGCGACCCAGGTGCCCTTGGGTCAAAGGGTGTTGGCTCCTCGCTTGTACTGCCGCCCGCTGGCCTTCCACTGGCAGAGCCGCCACCATCTGATTCCCGCCGCCTTCCACTGGCCTTCCGCCGCAGGCGAGGATGCGCCCAAGCCGAGGCCCTTCCAGACAGCCGACGTCTTACTTTTTCAGCACAGACTCCCCAGAAGTCCCGACCTCTTCCCCAGGGCCTGCTTTCATACTGAGTTGTTTTTTGAAGGCTCTGGGGCCCAGCGAGGGCCCCCAGAAACTTACAACGACGAAACCACAATTCCGTTTTGGTTCTTGTCACGGCGTGTCTGGGAAGGCGAGGCCTTTTCCGGAACGTCTTGAGGTAGATTCTCGTGTTGTGTCGACGAGGTGGCGACCTTGGCGTGGGCGTTCAGGGTATGTTGCACGCCCCCAGTGGCCAAGAACGGGCCGACATCGAAGGATCTTCGCCATCGGAACGCCTCGCCATGAAGAGAACGGGTTCTGAGGGAAACGGGTCCTGAGGGGCCTGGGCTCTCGGGGCCCTCCCTGGGCTCCCGGCTCGTCTGCAAGCGAGTCAGGACGGAAAGCGTATTGGTCACCAGCCCCTGGATTTAGGACCCGTTTCTCTTGGGACACGCTTCCTTCATGCTAAAAGTAGCGATCGTTCAAGGTTGAACGAGCCACGCGGTGTCAGAAACCAAGGCCCAAGTCGTCACAGCGCGACCCTACCCCCCAAACATCTGACGAGATACTTTCTTCAGCCCGAGTTCCCGATACAGTGGAGCGGAGGGGACAAGCAGACCCATACTACCTTGTGGCTCCTTAAGGAGCTGCCTTCCGGCAACGGTCGCCACTTTCGTGGGCTCCTCAGAGGCCCAGCGGAGGGGGGGCAGTCCCATACGAGACCTCGCGGCTCCCCGGGGGACTTTCACCTGCGCAAGTGTTGCCTCGTGTGTGGGCTCCTGGGGAGCCAAGCGGAGCGGAGGTGTACGCAGATCCAGCGGCTCCCCTGGGGGGCCGCAAGTTGCGCAGCCGACGCCACTTGCGTGGGTCTCCTGGGGAAAGCAGAACGGAGGTGTACGCAGATCGTTTCCTGGTGTGTGTGTGTGTGTGTCTGCAGGTTTGTATGTGTGTGCGCGCGCGTGTGTGTGTGTGTTGTGTGCGTGTGTGGGTTCGTGCGTGCGTGCGTGCTTGCGTGCGTGAGTTCGTGCGTGCGTGCGTTTGTGTGTGTGTGTCTTTCTGTCTGTGTGGGTGTGTGTGTGTGTGCTCGTGTGTGCGTGCGTGTGCGTGTGTGTGTGTGTGTGTGTGGGTGTGTGCGTGTGTGTGCGTGTGTGAATGTGTGTGTGTGTGTTTGTGTGTGCGTGTGCGTGTGCGCGCGCGTGTCTGGTTGTGTGTGTGCGTGCGTACTCGCGTGTGTGTGTGTGTGTGTGTGTGAACGTGTGTGTGTGTGTGTGTGAGTGTGCGTGTGTGTGTGTGTGTGCGTGTGCGTTTGTGTGTTTGTGTATGTCAGTGTGTGTTTGTGTGTGCGTGCCTCTGCGGGTGTGTGCGGGAATGTGCGGGAATGTGCGTTTGTGCGCGGGTGTTTGCGGGTATGTGCGTGTGTGTGTGTGTGTGTGTATGGGTGCGTGAGTGCGTGTGTGTACGGGTGTGTGCGTGTTCGCGCGTGTGTGCGTGTGAATGCGTGTGTGTGTGCGTGCGTGCGCGTGTGTGTGCATGTATCTGCGTGCGTGCATGTGTGCGCGTGTGTGCGTGTGTGTGTGTGTGTGCGTGTGTGTGTGTGTGCGTGTGTGTGTGTTTGTCTGCGTGTGTGTGCGTGTGCGCGCGCGTGTTTGTTTGTGAGCTCGTGGGTGTGTTTGTGGGTGTGCGTGAGTGTGCGTGGTTGTGCGTGTGTGAATGTGTGTGTGTGTGCGTGTGTGTGTGTGCGTTTGTGTGTGTGTGTGTGAGTGTGTGTGTGTGTGTGTGTATGGTTGTGCGTGTGTGTGTGTGTGTGAGTGTGTGCGTGCGTGTGTGTGTGTGTGTGTGTGCGGGTGTGTGTGTGTGTGCGTGTGTGCGTGTGTACGCGTGTGTATGTGTGTATGCGGGTGTATGTGTGTGCGTGCGTGTCTTTGCGTGTGTGTACGTGTGTGTGTATGTGCGTGTGTGTGCGTGTGTGAGCGTGGTTGTGCGTGTGTGTGTGTGGTTGTGTGTGTTTGTGTGTGTGGGTGCTTGGTGTATGTGCGTGTGTTTGTGTGTGTGTTTGTGTGTGGTTGTGTGTGTTTGTGTTTGTGTTAGGGTTTGCGTTTGTGTTAGTGGTTGTGGTTGTGGGTTTTCATGTGAGCGTGTTGTGTTTGTGTGCTTGTGTGTGTTTGTGTGTGCTAGTGTGCGTGTGTTTTTGTGTTTGTGTGTTTACATCTGCGTGTTTGTTGTTGGTGTTGTTGTGTGTGTGTTTTTGCGCCTGTATGCGTGTTTGTGTGCGTGTTTGCTGGCAGCGAGCGAGGGGGGGAAGTGAGAAGGAGAAGGCCTTCGCAGAAGGCGGCGGGACTTCTCAGAAGCCCTCGCGCCTTCTGAGAAGTTTCTTCGTCTTCGGGTAAGGCTTAGCAACCTTCTCAGAAGGCCAGGGGGCTTCCGAGCCTTCTGAGAAGGCCTTCTCCTTCTCACTTCCTCCCCTCGTTCGCCACCGAGTTTGTGTTTGCGTTCGTGTTTGTATATATAAATATATGTGTGTGCTTGTGCGTGTGCGTATGCTTGTGTTTGTGTTTGTGCTTGTGCTTGTGCTTGTGCTTGTGTTTGTGCTTGTGCATGTGCTTGTGCTTGTGTTTGTGTTTGTGCTTGTGTTTATGCATGTGCTTGTGCTTGTGCTTGTGTTAGTGTTTGTGTTAGTGTTAGTGTTTGTGCATGCGTGTGTGTGTGTGTGCGTGTGTGTGCGCGTGCGTGGGTATGTGGGTGAGTGGGTGTGTGGGTGTGTGGGTATGTGTGTGGGTGTGTGTGGGTGTGTGGGGGGGGGGGTGTGGGTGTGTGTGGTTGAGTGTGTTGTTGTTGTTGTTGAACTCTCATTTCTGAAGAGTAATGATTGTCGATTCCCCCCTCACCGGGGAATACTGTTTTTTTCTCAATCAAAGTGTGCCCCTCGACGCTCGCACTCTGTTTTTTATATGGAAAGTCTTCCTGCTCAAACTTGGCCCCTGGCCCCCCGGATTACAACAACAACGGCTCCCGCCTGAGACTTCCTCCAAATTTATTCTGGAACCCCGCTCCTGAGACTTCCTCACAACTCACTCAGGATCGGTGCTCCCGCCTGTTACTTCCTCGCAATTTGACCCCCGCTCACATCTGAGACTTCCTCCCAATTTATTCAGGAAAGGCGCTCAATTGAGTCAAGGACTCCCTCGCAATTTAATCAAGACCCCCGCTCCCGCCAGAGAACCTTTCATATTTTATTCAGGAATTGCGCTCTCGCCTATGACTTCCATACAATTTATTCAGAAATCGCTCTTTCGACGCTCAGGAAACGCGCTGCGCCAAGGACGCCGTTACAATTTACTTCGTACTCGCGCTCTCGCCATACTCAGGCATCCCGCTTGAATGTCCCACCCGCCCGACCCGCCCGTCAGGGGATCGCCCGCCCGTCGTGGGCTCCCGCCCGAGACTTCCTTCAGGAACGGCGCTTTCGCCTAGGACTTCCTCAAAAGTTCACGCTCTTACCTTCCTGCTCCTCCTCCCTCCTCCCTCCTCCCGCCTCCCTCCTCCCTCCTCCCTCCTCTCCTCCCTTCTCTCTCCTTCCCCTGTTCCCTTTTCCTTATGCCTCTCTGCCCTATCCCCTCTCCCTCCTCTCCCTCCTCCCTTCTCCCTCCCCTCTCCTGCCTCCTCCCTCTTTCTTGTTTGTTTTCTCTCTCTCTCTCTCTCTCTTTCCCCCCTCTGTCTCTCTCTCTCTCTCTCTCTCTCTCTCTTTTTCTATCTCCCTTGTCAATAGTTCTCTCTTTCTCTCTCTCTCTCTCTCTCTCTCTGTCTGCCTCTAATCCATCGCCCCCCTTTTCGCTCCTTCTCTCTCTCCTGGCGTTGTCCCTCTTCCTCCGTCCCTCCCCCTCCCTTCCTCCCACCCTCCCTCGTTCTCCCCCTCCTCTTTTTGCAGGGCCCACACCAATTCCAATGGCGGGCATATGTATGCCCACGAAGGATCCTCCGCCCGTTCAGGATTGCCCGCCTGTCTAAGCCCGCCGCCCCCCGCAAAGAGAAAGAATACCCCCAAAGGGGGCGTGATCGAAGACACAAAGGGCGAGTATCGAGGGTGTGGGGAACTCGTTTTGAATGACACACGGGCAAGTAAGAGCGAACTATCTTAGAATGATTGTTGTTGTTGTTGCTCTTATTGTTGTGATTGTTGTTGGTGGTGGTTGGTTCCCCTGCGGCCCTTGCCGGACTCGCGGGCCTGCTGCCACCCAGCCTCCTGGCCACGCTCCCCCTCGCCCTGGAGTCTAGGCTGGTCTTGCCGTCCGCGCTCCCCCCTCCCCCCACGCCTTGCCTGGTTTTCAGGTCCCGCACCCCCTCCCCAGGGAGTCGGCCTTGCACAGTGCTACCTCGACTTCACTGGCTGTATCTTGAGCCCTGCTGCCACCAGCCTCCCAGCCGCCACCGCCGCTGGCCCCCCAGCGCACCGCCCCGCCCCCCCCCGGGCTGCTCTGAGCGGGCGCGGCTCCTCCTTGGCCCCCCTCTTGGGCCAGCGCCTCTCGTCCTCCTCCCTCTCCCTCTGCATGGTGGCTGAATTCGCCTAGCGTGCCCCGTTTTGCTCAACTCGCCAGCGCAGTCCCTCTGCCCCAGCCTCTTACTTAAACATGTGTGTTTGTGTGTATGTGTGTGCGTGTGTGCGTGCGTGCGTGAGCGCGTGCGCGTGCGCGTGCGCGTGCGCGTGCGGGTGCGGGTGCGGGTGCGGGTGCGGGTGCGGGTGCGGGTGCGGGTGCGGTGCGGGTGTGGGTGCGGGTGTGGGTGTGGATGTGTGGATGCGTGGGAGTGTGAATGTGTGCATGTATGTATGTATGTCCATGTATATGTGTTTCTGTGTTTCCGTGTTCGTGTGTTTGCGTGTGTGTATTGTGGTTGTTGTTGTTATTGTTGTTGTTGTTGTTGTTGTTGTTGTTGTTGTGTGTTGTTGTGTGTTGGTGTGTGTTGTTGTGTGTTGTTGTGTGTTGCTGTGTGTTGTTGTGTGTTGTTATGTGTTGTTGTGCGTGTGTGTGTGTTGTGGTTGTTGTTGTTGTTGGGTGTGTTGCTGCTGTTGCAGGTGTTGCTGTTATTGTCGTTGGTGTCGTTGTTGTTGTTGGTGTTGTTGTTGGTGTTGTTTTGTTGTTGTTGTTGCTGTTGTTGTTGTTGGTGTTGGTGTTGTTGTTGTTGTTGTTGTTGCTGCTGTTGTTGTTGTTGTTGTTGGTGGTGTTGTTGTTGTTGTTGTTGTTGTTGCTGTTGTTGTTGTTGTTGTTGTTGTGTGTGTGTGTTTTGTGTTGTTGCTGTTGTTTGTGCTGTTGTTGTTGCTGTTGTTGCTATTGTTGCTGATGTGTGTGTGTGTGTGCGTGTGCGTGTGCGTGTGCGTGTGTGTTTGGTGCAGTGTGTGGTGTTGTGTTTGTTGTTATGTGATTTTGGGTGTGTTGGTGTTACTGTTGTTGTGTGTATGTGTGTGTTGTCGTGTGTTGTTTTGTGTGTGCGTTTTGTTGTGTGTGTGCTTGTTTGTGTGTCTGTGTGTGCTGAGTGTTGTTGTGTGTTGTTGTGTGTATGTGTGTGCTTGTGTGTTTGTGTGCTTGTGCGTTTGTGCTGTGTGTGATTATTGTTGTGTGTGTGTGTGTGTCTTAAGCCCAGGCCTATGTTTGATGGTCCTGGGGCCCGACGGCGGGCTCCAGAGGCCGAAATCTGGGGAGCTGCGGGCTTGAAAGCGTCAGCTCGTCGGATCCATTTTTGGTGACCCTCGGGCCCGATACCCGGCCCCGAGGACCGAAATCGAGGACAAAAACGCTCTTGGAGAAACTTCACACCGTCGGAGACCTGGGACCCGCTGAGAAATTCCGCACAGTCGGAGACCTGGGACCCGGGCCCACAGGTGCCCCCTAGAGAGCTGGACCCCGCCCGCCCCTGGGCCTGGGACCCGGTCTGTCACCCCGAGCCGTTGCTCCACTGCCCCGGGGCCAGGCGAGGGCCCCCCGGAGCCACACGTAGAAGTATGGAGTGCACCACGTCGCGAGCACGTCTGTCGGCGGCGAGCGAGGGGAGGAAGTGAAAAACGAGAGGGCCTTCTCAGAGGGCTCGGAAGCCCTCCTGGCCTTCCGAGAAGTTGCCGAAGCCTTCCCCGAAGACGAAGCAGCTTCTCAGAAGGCGCGAGGGCCTCTGCGAAGTCCCGCCGCCTTCTCAGGAGACCTTCTCCTCATGTTCCCCCCTCGCTCGCCGCCGCGTCTGGGAGCCGCGGCCCGGGTCGCCACGACACGAGCCCGCCGCCCACAGGTGTCCGAAGGCGTCCGCCAGAGCCTGTACTGCAGGCTGGGCCGGCGTGCGGAGGCGGCCCCGCCGGCGTGCGTGGCGCCCCTGGCCGGCGCGGCCATCGCCTGCCACGCCGCGGTGACGGGCCAGCGCGGGCGGCGTCCGCCGACCACCTCGCCGATGGGCAGAGGGGGGAGATCGAGCAGGGGATCGGCTGCTGCGGTGGCAAGTCGTGGGAGCCCCGTGTGCCCTCGCAGCTCTGCCTCCAGCGTTGGTCAGCGTCGGCCAGCGTCTGGGAGTCGATGAGGTCGCGCCGATTTGGCGTCGGCTGGCGTCGATTAGCGTCGATTTGGCGCCGGTTAGCGTCGATTAAGCGTCGACTAGCGTCGATTCGCACGAGCCGACAACATGGTATGGGAGGCTCCCATGAGTTGTCACCGAAGACTACAGAATTGATTTGGACCACAAAATTACTTATTTTTCGTCGGATCCACAATGCATGCGTAGAATGTTCCGTAGATCCACGGAGCATTATGTTTTTTTTCTTGTGTGGCAGACTCGACGGGACTAATCAAGTCATTGATATCACAATAAAAATCGGGCCCGACGAAAGGGGGGGGGATTGGGAAAGAGGGGGTTTCGAAATCTGCTGCATGCTGGTTTCGGCCCCACCGAGGGGCCCATTCCTCGATACATAGCCGCCTCCGGTGCCGGGAGGCGCCAGGAAAATCAGCGACGCGAGCTATTCTCAAACCCCCCTTTTGCTATCCCCCCCTTTCGCCCGGCCCGAAAAAACGTCAGGGACGTTTGCTTCACAATCTCTCGAACCCTGGGTGCCCCTACTCAGCCCAGGGGCCTTCAAAAAACGTCTCGGGATGAAAAGCCGGTCTGGGGGAAGGGGTCCAGACCTCTGAGGGTCCGCGTTGCGAACACATCGCGGCGTCGGAGCGCCGAGGATGTACCCAGATCCCCGCCGATATGTTGTTTCACGTCGATTCGACTGCTGGCTGTCTTTCTTCGACCCTCGGCGGTCGTTTTCGGTCCCTAGAAGCATCAAACATGCATCCAGAACGAAGCATTGCCGCCCCGCCAGGGAAACGCTCGGGACCTCTGGGCCCGCGGATTGCACAAAAACACGTTCGCGGCGGAGGTCGGGAGAGAAGGGAAAGACAGGTACCCATACGGTGGCGGCGTTCGTGGAGGAGTGCGCCCGGGAGGCCTCAGACCCTGGAGGGCTCCTTTCTCTCATGAGGGCGGCGGCGATGTCCGTGAGCGAACGAACGGAGCCGCGAGCTCACGGCGCCTCTGCAAACCGAAATAGAGCGCGGGACACACGCGCACCGGCAGGCAGAGAGCAGCACACGTATCGGGCCGGGCGAAAGGGGGGGATTGGGAAAGGGGGGGTTACGAAATCTGCTGCATGCAGCTGGTTTCGGCCTCACCGAGGGGCCCATTCCTCGATACATGGCCGCCTCCGGCGCCGGGAGGCGCCGGGAAAATCAGCTACGTGAGCTGATTCTCAAACCCCCCTTTGCTATCCCCCCCTTTCGCCCGACCCGAACGTAGTGGCACGGTGCCTCGGGGAACCGCTGGGCCGGCGGCGACGTCCGTGGCCAGGCCTCTGGCCAGCACTCCGCCGGCCCCGCCGCGCCGCGGGGCAGGCCCCCGTTGCCGCGGCGGCCGCCTCCTTGATCGTCTCTGGTCGGAGCGCACGCCCGGAGAGGTCCAGGGAGCCATCTTCTTGGCATCGCTCGGACGTGTGCATTTTTCCTCCGGCGAGGACAATCGAGGAGCATCCTTGATCATTTGGCGAAAAAAAAAAACGCACGAAACCGAAAAAACAAAAAAAACACAGGGGATGGACGTCCGAGCGATGGCGAGATCTTTCGGGTTTGGCCAGGGCCCCGGTCAAGGGGAGCCGGTTAGTGATTGATCCCCGAAGCCCAAAATATGGATTGGAGTCACTAAGCCGGGTCTGCAGTAGCTGATACTTGTCGGGTTACGGCAATTCCGGTTGGTGGAATGGGACGGGGGGGGCGCCCCCCAGTACACATCACTAAACCAGGTCCCACTAAACCCAGTTTTGCCAACGCCCGACTCTTGGGCCATCTTGGACGCTCCAACGCGAGAGGCCCAGCCTGGACGGACCTGGTCGGCGGGGCGGTCGGTTGGCGCCGCCCAGCCAGCTGCTCTGCATCGGCCGCTTCGCGTGGCGCGTCGGCGCCGAGCCGGAGAGCGTGGGGGCGGCGCAGTTTGAGGATAGCCGCCTCGAGAATCCTCGAGGGGGCCCAGGGACCCATACAGTACCCCCAGGCGTCGCGAAAAGACCACGGCGGGAGGTGTTCGGCTAGCTTCGGCCTCGCTGGGCCCCAGGACACTCAACAGAAACGACTCGGCATGAAGAACAAGTTTCGGGGAGAGGGTTCAGAACTTTGGGGAGCTACGCTGTGAGCAAATCACGGCGTCGGGGGTCTGGGAGGAGCCCTGACGATCGCCGCAGACGGCCCCGCGGCGGCCTCCAGCACGGCTGCCGGGAGGAGTCCAAGACGGCCCCAGACGGGGCACCAAGACCCCCCCCCCCGGCGGACCGCCCGCAGTCCCACACCAAAGCGGCACCCAGGCACCCGAGAGATGCAAGCCTGGCCGCAGGAGGCCCCCGTGCAGGAAGCGGGTCCTGCGGAGGTTCGCCGCGAGTCCTGCAGGAGCCCAGGCCTCCGACCATGCGAGCGTCTCATGCAGTCGACCCGCATGGCAAGGATGGACCGCCTTCCAAAGGGTACGCTTGCAGCCTTCCTCGGTCCATCCTTTGCCACTTTCGTCGGCCGCGCACCGCTCGAGAAGCTTCGACATGGGCGTCCAAGGCCCTTGCATCCTTATCGCGCATCCTTCTGATACGGGCCGACTGTAAGGCCGACTGTAATCGCAGCGCTCTTCCTTCATGTTGCTGCCTGGAGGCTGTTTTCGTGACCCAAGGGCCATCAGCACTGGATCGGGGACAGATGCCTGATGGGGAAGGTGTCCGGGCCTCTGGGGCCGCGGATGTCTGGGAAGGGGTCCCTAAGGAAACGGGCCCTGTTTTTTTTTTCGTGCCGGGTTCGGGTTTCTGGGGCTCTCCCCGGGCCCCATGGGGCACAGGGAGTCCAGGGACGGAGATCTGGGCAGAGCTGGCACGGTCACTGGAGCCCGACAGGGTCCATGACCTTTTTTGTTTCTTCCATGCCGAGGAGATGCTGAGGATCGACCTGAGGCCGTGGCGCGACTTCAGCACGAGGGTCCTGCTCTCGGCGGGCGTGGTGTTCCTGGTCGCCGGGCCAGCTTGCGCGGGGCTCGCCAAGTACGCCCTGCAGTTCCTGTGCGGCGCCCTCCTCCTGCTGTACGGCACGCTCATGTTCGCCGCCGACTTCGAGGGTCGCATGCCATCGCGGCTGTGGGGGGGCGGGGAATGTACCGACACCGGTAATGACTCCACGGACCTCTCCCTGGGGTGCGTTCTGACCAGAGTTTCGAGGAGAATCCAGCCGTGCACGGCGACGAGGGCCTTCCAGGAGAATCAGCGGTACAAATGGGTAGGTGTTCCTTCTCTGAGGCTGGGCCACTACCTGTGCGTGTACTTCCTGGTGTTGCTCACGGTGTTCGTGTACATGGCGGGCGCCGTCGGGTCGCCGGAGGATGTCCGCTACACGTAAGAACGACCCTTCGCCAGAGAGTAACCTTCGGTGCGGGCCAACCGAGGTCTCCTGATCGCTGAGTGTGATGTGACAGCTGCAGTTGTAGCAGCTGCTTTCGCGCTTGCGTTCGGCCCCCAGCCCCGCGCAATCCTGGAGCCGCGCGCCGAAGGCCTCCCTGGGCTCTCCCCCGCCTCCCTCTTGCCGAGGGTCGCCCACTGCGTGCCGGCGAGGACGCAGAACCCGGCGCGACGCCCCGCGCCGCGCCGCGCGAGCCCTTCGCCCCGGACGAGGCGTGCAGCGACGGCG